ATTCCCAAAGGGCAGAGATCATGTTTATCTTGCTCATTGTTATGTCCAAGTATAAGAAAATATTTCTTAAATGAAACATGCACCCTTTGGCCTGAGGGTGTGCCTGTGGATGGTGCTCAGCAGCCATGTCATTCTTGTTCGGCCAAAGCTCTTTCTTTCCTACACGTTCCCTTGCCACAGTACTCTAAGCCAGAGCTCAGCAGACTTGCTGGAAAGAGCCAGAAAGGAAGTCTTTTGGGCTTTGCAGGCCATTTGGTTTCTCTCATAACTACTTGATTCTGCCATTGTAACATGAAAGCAGTCATAGATGATACATAAACAAATGAGTGGTCCAACAAAGCTTTATTTACAAAAACAGGCATCAGGTTGAATTTGGTCCATTGGCTTTAGTTTGCCAACTTCTGCTCTAGAGAACGTCCCTGGTTGAAAGCGAAGACAGTGCTGCTACTGGGTCAGTGAGAGGAAGCTTTGATCACACCTGTGTCTTCCAGGGAGACCCTCCCAGTCTAGTACAGACAAGGACAGCGTGGGCTTGTGGCATCTAATGAGGCCAGAGGCAAAATAATATGGCTTTGGTCAGGGAGGAAAGGTAGCAAAGTGCATCAGTCTAGGACCAAAGTGCATGTCGATGTGTTACATTTATAGACCACGTGACAAAGCCAGGAATAAGATCCTATAACATCTGAGCTGCAGGCAGGGACCATTTGGATTTCCATCTCCCTGCCTTTCATGCCGACTCTTCCAGATTCATCTCCAGCCTCTGAGGCTTGAGCCGGGCTGGGTCCGAGAGCAGCTGCCTCGGCTCTGCCAAGCACACAGAATATGTTCAGATGGAGAAAGCACTGACTTGTATGTCAAACTGAGCAGAACAGCTTCTTCGGAGAGTTCTGGTGCAAGTGGAGGGACAACCTTGGCAGAGTCATTTCCTTAAGTCAAAGCGGCCCCTGGATCCATGGCATCGGCCGGCCAGGCAGAGCCCTGCAGTGCGCAAGCGCAGTCTCCGGCCGCAGCTGGGCACCTGAGGCCATCCCGTGTTTTTCTTATTTAAGGGGGGTACCCATACCTGCCTCACAGGGTTGTTATGAGAAATGTAACTTGCTCTTTGTGGTGTTAGTTCAAAAGAAGTGGCTTAAAGGAGATCAAGATGACGGGGATAAGAAAAAGAGTAGAACAGAAAGAGCTCTGTACTCTTCCTTCCAGCTTCACAGTGACCCCAGAGGGAAGGTGCTGTTTCCGTCTCCCTCTTACAAGAGGACCACTTGTCCAGGTTTGCTGGGCTAGTGACAGAACCGAGATAGAGGCCAGTGTGTCCAGCTGGAGAGTTCCTGCTCTTCACCATGACACGGCGTCCCCCGGAGTTGCTCTGGAGGCCTTAAGTTTGGCCACGTCACAGCATTACTGAGGAGTGGTCCTCAGCCCTCCCCGCGGAGGTGCCTCGTCCAGCCCCATTCTGCTCCCCTGGAGTTGATGGTGCTCCGCCTATGGTTGAATAGAAAACAAGCTGCCCCAGTGAAAGGTCCCTGAGAAAAAAATCAGGGAATAAAGTTATAGAGAGCTGAGCCTCTACTGTGATACCTGCGCTGTGGTCAGTGGCCAGGGAGAAGTTAGGGTTCTGTTCTCACCTGGGGATGATGCTGTGTCTCAGTGGGACTTTAGTTACAGTGATGATTTTAAGATTCTGATGAAGCAGATAATAGAAGGTGGTCTAGAGTCACCAGCTAGTTCTCCAAGGACACAAAGCATCCAGGAAATCATACAACAGATGATGTCAACAGATGAAGCATTTTTGAAAATTCAACCCCACATAAGAAAGTGTAGAAGTCATTGATGCCTTTTGCCAATATTCCCCTTGAGGTTGGGCAGCTCCATATGTCTAGTTCTGGCCAATGAACTATGAGCAAAAATGACATGTCTCTTCTGGTCTGGAATGTTTAATTACCTCTCAGAGACCCTCTGGGCTTCTAGCACATCAACCAGCAATATTCAAGAGGGCGGCTGCTCTCCAGCCTGCACCCCAAGGGCAGTGATGGCAAGATCTCCTGCCAACCCTCAGTGGGCAGGTGGTTTGAGCAAGAAACAAACTTTTGATATTTTAAAGCTCTGAAATTTAACTGTTAAGAGTTGTTTATTACTGCAGCATGGCATAGGTCATGACTAATCTACAAACCCACTACAGTTTTCTGTCCTGACAAATTTTTTTTAATGACTTTACATGAGTTAGGACTGGCATGAAAGGGTGTTAGTGTTGACTTTTGTGTGTATAGAGTTACATAGAGAGTACATAAGAAGTTCCAAAAATAGAGTCCAGTTCCATAGGGCTTTACAAATGTCAAGAAATGTCTGTTTCATTGGAAGGCCATTGTTAGGGGACTCAAATGTATATAAATACTGCTGATACATCTAAATTAGTTATTCCCTTGAATAGTCTTCTTATTAATGCCTTATGATTGTGGTTTGAAATAGTTCTTTGTAGGAAGACTTTTTACTAACATCTTACCCAACTATATTACAGGACAGGTGAGTGTAGGTGTTGTATTCAAAATTATTTTTCCTGTTCGCCCAAACTGATTCCTGTGCATTTGCAGCTTTCCTCTAAACATTTCCAAAACCTGCTTCACTTGTTGAGCTTGGGCAAACCATTCGCCCCATTGGCCCTGGAGTGTGAGCAGTTGTTCACATACAGAGCTGCTGTCCCAGAGCCTGCTTTCTATGAACTATGTCTTCAACAGTTACCGGTTAGGATTTCTGCACCTGTCACCCTCTCTCTCCCTGACCCTCATCATGTGCTTTATATTCTTTTTCTCTTGCTTGCACACAGGCATACACCCTCTCTCTCTTCAAAGATTTAAATTGATCCTGTTCTAAAATCCCTGGCACTGGGCAAATGTCTGCACATTATGGACAAAACTGCAGGGACCCTTTGAAACACGTTGCTGGGAACTGAGGAAGGCTTGTTGAGTGGCCGTCAGTGATCCGAGCCCACCTGGCTGTGTGACTGCAGGGTGGACTGCAGAAGATTCTGTCGCGGCACAGACTCCAGGGGTTTAGGTTTTCAACTTGTGTTCCACATGATACGGAACAAGGAGAGTTAGTGGGAGAAATTTAATATGGGGGAAAGAAAAAGAATGGCAGCATTCTAATCCCCACAAGGTATGGTTGCCTTTGTCTTTTTCGTAAGGTAAAATGTCAAAACCAAGTGGAAACGCTGTCTACCCTCCCTTCTCCCACCCCACGCCCTGCCAGCCTAACACCGTGATGTGGTGTTCTGTAACTCATTGACAGTGACCCATAGCAGGAGATAAAAATTTCATTCCTGACAGTGAGAAGCACACCCTGAACTTGCTCAGGGAGTATTTGGTGATATTTGAAGTTTATAAAATATCATTTAAAAGGTGAGACTTTCCCTAGAGCTTCTAATCTAGTAAGTTGTAAAACTTGTACCAAAAAAAAAAAAGAGCACATTTGGGGGCGGAGAAGGATGTTTTAAATTTCTGCTTCAGTCCACACTCAGCAATATGGAACTTGACTCACAGGCAGGCCCGGCAGAGGAGACTCTCCACGGAGCTCTCGGGGCCTCACTTGCGTCACGGAGAAGATGGGCAGACGGGCAGGCAGGCGAGAGCAGACGAGGCTGACCTATGAAGACCGGCTTTGCTTGAGTTGCCGCTTAGCGACCAGACCACAGCCCAGCTCATCCTTCATGTTCAAATCTGATGCGAAGACAGGTTAAAAGACAGATGGTGTCTGAACTGGAATCAGAACTCAGACCTCCTAAATAGCAGTCTCATGCCCCTAATATAGTAAAAGGAGCTCGAAGTTGTTCAGGATTATTCAAAAGAAAAGGAAATGATTGCTTTTTAAGGGAAATTGATGCTTATTGTCTGAGTAGTAATAACAGCAGCAGTCACTGTGTAAAACTTTGTTTAAATTCTCCTCGAGTCTTGCAGGAGGAAGTGCTATGCACGGGCTGGGGGAACTGTCCCTGTCTCGCTGCCTGTACCAAATGGACTCTCGGCCACGCTGACCTCCGGCTTCACCGCACACCCACTCGACAGATATAGGCCCAGCAAGAAGGGCAAAGGATCCTAGGTCAGCTGAGCAAGGAGGACAAAGTTTCCAGGGCCACTGGCAACGCTGAATGTTAAAGGAGGACTTGAGGATACGTAGGAATTAGTCACAAGTGGGTCAGGTATGTGCTGTTGTTGCCAGTTTCCACGTAAACAGGTTCCATAACGATGTTGCCCAGCCCTTCACACACCTCAGACACCCTTATGTGCGTGTCCTGGTCTGGGGTGGAACCACTCACTGGGGTTGCCTAACAGCAGTGTTCTTAGTCAGGCAAAAGTCTGTATGTCCTGCTCTTGCAGTGGCCACTGAGCCATTGGAAAGGACTTGATGTGCTCAAGGAGGAGATGAGTCTCCTAAAGGGACGCAGAAGTGACTCCTGCCAGGGCCATGGCCCTGCTGCCATCAGATCCTGTTGGAGTGTGGCAGTAGCCTCCTGACTAGTTCCCTGCCGGCCCCTCCCTTTCCCAGTACTGCTGTCGTGGCCTCTAGAGCGTGGCACAGATCCCTCTGGAAACGCAGCTGAAGGGCGTTCACTGCTGGGCACTTTCAGAAGTATAGTCTGACTTCTCGGTTCCTGTGCAGCTGCACTGGAGGTGCCAGCACCAAAGCCAGGAGAGGTGGTGCCTGCCCTCCTGCTGCTTACAGACTGGAGAGAGAAAGGGCTCCGGCACCCAGGGCGGTGCCCAGCCAAGAGGGCCGCGGGGCCGGGGCAGGCGAGATCTGAGCAGTGGAGGGCTCCTCCGTGTTCTTCCCCGTTGTTCTCCTTCCTGTGTTCCCTCCTCTTGACTCTACCCACAGCCCTTTCTACGTGCCTTCATTTGCCCCCTTCCTTCCACCTGAAATTCCCTTAGTCCTCTGTCCACCATTTGCATTTCTAAATTCTGCCAGTTTGTCATTGGGCCACCTCAGAAGGCCCCTTTTCTTTTCTTTTGGAAAATATGGAATTCCTCACAGATTTGAGTGCTGTCCTTGCATAGGGGCCAGGCTCATCTTCTCGGATTCTTCCAATTTTGATACATGTGTTGTCCAGGCAAGCAAAAAGGCCCTTTCTCTTTACGGTCTTCCCATCTCCCCAGCCCCCAAGCTAGGGGCCAATCTCACTCTAGTGAACTCTGCCCAGTCTTGACTTTTGCCTTTCTTATGGCCTGTGTCATGTCTCTGTCCCCCGGCCCACATGGTTAACATTTGTCCCATTGGTCCTTGTCTAAGTGACCCAAAAGAGTGTTTGTACAGTGAGGTGTACGTAAATACACTGAACAGAATGCAGCAGACTCTGAAATATTTGTCATGTAGGCAACTGAATTAGGGGTTGGTACAGGGTGGCTGAAAGTAAGAGGAAACTCAGGAGAAGGCAAGGAGGGCATGAGCTTTGAGAAATGGGAGTCTTCCTGTGAAAAGGAAGGCTGGAGACGGGAGGTATTTAGTGGTGAAGAGACAAGAAGGCATGTTCTGTAGCGGAAGAGGTGCATGATGACTGAAATGGGCGTCACATGATATGATAGAAGGAGGTGGAAAGGATGGTGGGAGGTGGTGGGGCTGGTAGGGGCCCAACCTGGCTCAAGGTTGGTTTCAGAGAAGAGCAGTGGGAGGATTCACTTGCACCGAGATTTGGTGTCAGCCTCATTTGGCCACGGCACAGCAATGGTTAAATGAATTGCTCAACTCGGGCAGTGCAATGAGGAGGGAGGAGGAGGCACTGGGTGTCCAGTCTTTGGTCTGGCTTCACACTAGTGGATGCCACTCTGAAATGGTTGCACAATAACATCTTTGTTCTCAAGCCAGCATCATAATTGACTGCCTTGCTCTTACTGGCGCGATTGCTTAATAAAATCTGCAGGGCCTTTATTACCCCAAATGCAGTGTGTTTTTCCAAAGAAATATATATGCCTATAAAATATTCAAAGATGAAATATACAAGAGGCTTCCTAATGCCTGTTAGAAATGGAATTGAAATACACATAGCACCAAATGAATTTGTTTCTACTAACAAAATTCCTTGTTTACCAATTACCTAAAAGGCAAATTTAAGTAAATAAAACAGTCATGTGTTTTTCTCTAAGGGGGATATTTTGATAAGAAAAAATATAGTTGACAGGCATTTATATCTGGATCTCTTCTTTCTGCTCCATTAAACCAGAAATTGGTCTTCGCCACTAGTGACCAAGTGTATGTGTACAAGGGAAGATAATTAACTGGAAGGGGGCCAATTGCAGAATTGCTTATCCTGTTATATTTGCTATCAGTCGTGTATATTTGGTACAAATATACACATTAGAGGCTTTAAGTCTCCTCCCTGGAGACAGACACTATACAGAGAGCCATCAGTTGCATCTGCTGGAAACAGGCTGTACGGTAGGACTGGGCAGTTTGTCCCTAGCACTAGCCCACAAGCCCACGCGGCTCCCTGGGTGAGAAGGCTCACAGTGGTGCCCCACCACGAGGGTAAGTGAATGGTTTAGTTGGATGCATAACTGTGCTGAATATGTGGAAAAGCAACTAGCTTCCTGAGGGTCAGTAGCTGATATTCTTTTTCAAAACACAAAATGTGCTCAGATATAAGTATGAGAATTAATCAGACTCAACCACAGTTGTATATGCAATATTTTGAAAGGGGGTGGTTTGTTTCGAAGCTGGGAGTACTAAAAATGCTAAATGATGACTAAGTTGGTTTCTCTTGGGTTTACTTTTACATTTTCTCTGCCTTTTTTTTCTTGTAGCTTATTGTCATTTAAAATCTCATTTCTTACACTATTGAGATTGTGTTTTTCATTAAACATATTTTTTGTGTGAAATAAAAAATGTATTTGAATTTTATTTTTTTAAATGACTAAAATGTGTCTTATGCTGTCTTACATTGCAGTGTTTGGAACAGAAGTCAGAATTTAATTAAAGTCATAAAATATAGAAAGATATAAAAAAATTATTTCTACCCCCTAAAATATGGCTGTAAAATACATTTTAATCAGTTCATACTGGTCTGTTTACTAAAAATATATAAATAAAACCAGGGATTTGTGCATATAGTCTGTTGTTACTAAAATTAGTGGTTCCGGAATACAGTCAGAGCACCTGTTTAACAAAAATGTCTATCAGCAATACATGTACAGATGGCTGACCTTTTCCATTGGATTTTGCTAATTTAATTCAGGGAAGACAACCTTATTTTAGATTTGCCTCACAGTGCTCCATCTTCAAGAAAATTCCCCTTCTTTGCAATATCTTTGTGACTCTGAGAATATTAAGTCCTCTTTCATCTCGGGGTTTGCATTTATAAAATAGAGGCAACAAGGATACCTTCATAGTAATATGCTTGATCTGAGTTTCAATATGATAACACATGCATAGCATTGAGCAAACTTTCTAGCACATTGCAAGTGCTCAATGAATTTGTATTAGTAATTGCAATGTAGTGACACACATACAATGAGTTTGTATGTGTATTATTAGAGTGACAGATGCTCACTGTTGTAACACAACCCTTCAAACCAATCATGCATTGATCTGAGGCTAGCCAGTTTTCCTGGATAGGTCTCTGCCCGGGATTGATGACTCCGTGATTGGGAAGTCTCCGACCTTTTGATACTGCCATCTTTATAATCTGGCCTCCTTTGTCACTGCAGAAAGAGAAGAGATGGTAAATGATTGAACAGGAATTTTGACAACCAATGTGGCATACTTCCCTCTATATTCCATGACTCACACTCCATCTTATGGGACCCAAATGACCTGTAAAATGGCTGGTAAATGTCTTTTTTCTCTGTGTACAAGAAGAAATGGGATTGTTGAGCACCTAGCCATTCCTTGTCATACTCTTTGTTCCAGATATTATTGCTGTGCAACAAAGTATTCTAAATTTACTGGCATAAAGCAACAACCAATTTCTTTTTTATTGAATGTCTGAGGTGACATTGGTTAATAAAATTATATAGGTTTCTGGTGTACAAGTCTATACTATATCATCTGTATATTGTATTGTGTGTTCACCACCCCAAGTCAAGTTGGCTTCCATCACCATTTATCCCCGCTTTACCCTCTTCCACTCCCCCCACCCCCTTTCCCTCTGGCACTCACCATACTGTTGTCTGTGTCTATGAGGGTTGCTTTTAATCCCTTCACCTTTTTCACCCAGCCTCCTAACCCCCTCCACTCTGACAGCTGTCAGTCTGTTCTTTATTGATGAGTCTGTTTCTATTTTGTTAGTTTATTTTGATCATTAGATTCCACATATGAGTGAAATCATATGGTATTTGTCTTTCTCTGACTGGCTTATTTCACTGACTATAATAATATCCAGGTCCATCCATGCTGTTGCAAAGGGTAAACTTCTTACTCTCATCATAATCACCATTATTCACTCAGTTTTCTGCACTCACTCTTTGGCCACCTTTAATACCCTGCCACTGTTAATCAGATACCAGATTCTATCAATTTTCTCTTTAGAAATGGTTCTTTAAACCCTCAGCTACCATTCTAGTTCCAACCCACATCTATTAGAATCCTAAAAGGATAAAGTGGGAAAGATGTCTGAGATGTCAGGTACCACCCCCCAGCCCAGAAAGGGACATTGTCCAAGATCTTACTCATCTTAGCAGCAGATCAGCACTGAAATCTCTCCAGTTGTGGGCTCTGGCTGAGTAGCATGTTGACTGACGTCATGTTGAGACTCTTACAGCAATTTCTCAACTCCTCACCCTGCTCCAGGGCTCTGGCCATCAAGCCATCTCTCTGTTGTGCCCCCAGATAAATCTTACCAAATCATCACTATTGTCACTCTCTTTCTTGCTGGCTACCCATTACTTGTAACTCTTGCTTTTTATTTCATCATAGTTAGATTTTGCCAAGGCACACCCTTTATTTCAGCCAGTCTTCCCGTGGTCCTCTCAACTTATCATGGTCGTTGTCGGGTCCACCTCTCTGCTCATAATGTCACTGTCATGTGGAAAGCCCATTTGGAATTTACCTTTGAGATCTCCCTCAATGTCACATGTGTCCTGAGACCTATCATCGCAATTTTATTTTTTTTTATTTTTTTATTACTCCTCACCCAAGGATATTTTTCCCATTGATTTTTTTTTTTTTTTTAGAGAGAATGGAAAGGAGGGAGGGAGAGAAAAACATCAATGTGGAAGAGAAACATCGATGTGAGAGAGACACATCGATTGGTTGCCTCCCATACCCTCCCCAACTGGGGCCAAAATCAAATCTACAACCCAGGTATGTGTCCTTGATCAGTAATCAAACCCGTGACCCTTTCAGTGGGTGGGCCGGTGCTCTAACCACTGAGCAACTCTGGCCAAGGCTATCATCACAAGTTTATACTGTACTGACCTCCTTCCTACACCTGGTTGGTTATTCTCCTCCATCCTTCTGCATCCAAATACTGTGTGCAATGCATGGTGCCATGGAGGCAACCCAGAGATACACTGGGCATGAACCTAGCCACACAGAGTCTGGCACAGGCATTAAAACATGCACAAAAATAATTCTGATGTTTGGTAATAAATACTATATTTTTAAAAGTTGTAGGTTAGCCCTGGCCGGTTTGTCTCAGCGGTTAGAGCATCAGCCTGCGCACCAGAGAGTCCCGGGTTCGGTTCCCACTAAGGGCACGTACCTGCAGTTTGTCCCTGGCCCCGGTTGGGGTCGTGTGGGTGGCAGCCAGTCAATGTGTCTCTCTCACGTTGATGTTTCTCTCTCTCTCCCCTCCCCCCTCCCACTCTGTCTGAAGATAGATGCTAATATGCCCTCGGGTGAGGATAAAAAAAAAGATGTAGGTTAAATTGGGCCTATTTCTACTAGTTAGGATTTATCTCTCTGTCCAGAGAGAGAGAGACAGTAGGGTGTACCAGTTAAGAACTCAGATTCTGAAGCCAGAGGATATGTTGCTAATAACTAGCTATAGGGCCTGGGTAGTGCTTATCCTTTCTCATCTTCTGCTCGACTTCCTCATCTGTGAAGAAGGATACAATAAAATGCCTACTTCCCAGGGTTGCTGTGAGGATTAAATGAGTTAACATGGGAAATGCTAGGAAAGTG